CTGATGATGACCAGACACAACGAAACCTATAGTATTCTAGGACAGTTATCCATAGTCAATGCTATGTGAAAATACATGTATAGTATTTAACTTTGATTAACTGAATGGGTCGTATTATATGAAAATTATTTTATTCTGCTAAAGTCCATACAAGTTGATAAGAAATAACTTTAAAAAATTATTTTAGGTGCACAGTGGCTTTCCGTCCTCTTGCTTGTGAGCTTTTTTAACATCAGCTTGTTTTCTTTTAACATGTGTGTCTACCAATGACAGCACCTGTCTCTGCTTTGAATGTTGCCAAACACTGAACCTATCAGAAAAAAATCATGCTTTGTAATTTCTATTGGATATATCCAATCCAAGATGATCCACTCTGTTTCTCAAGAAACTCTTCATTAAGACAGTGTTTAGCGCTTCAGCAGACTTTGACCCCCCTCCACCCGATCTCCTCCCTCTCTCAGTTCACTCTTAGAATCGCTCTTCCTAAATTCTTCATCCAGGCTCACGACAACTTACAGCATAAAGTCTTCTGCCTGGATCTGAGCACCAAAGAATTTATTTTCATTCATATCAATAAAACCTTTCTAATTCCCTCTGTTCTCCATGTGAGTCTCCCCAGGTTGAAATAACTATTGAGAATCATGTGTCCTTTTTTCCTAATACATCCACTATATCTGAATTAATTTCTGGCTGAAATGTGGCTAAATGTGAATAAAACCTTTAGGAAATTATAGCAGTTACCATAACAGTAATGCTTTAAAACCTTTTATCTGATATAATTTGATTTCCTAAATAAATCAGTAAATTGAAACTCTAAAACTTATCTTATATTAGACTGGCACATTACAGTGAAATCTCTTTGGTGATAAAGAGTGTGCAGTGAACTTTTTTATGTGATCAGACCTTTTGTTCTGAGAAAATGTCAGCTTGTAGCCTTCCAAATCCCACCTTAATATTGAAGGACAAAAAAACAGAGATCATAAAGTACTCCTTGCCCTCTTTCAGATAATTTAATTTGAGAATGTCATATAGGTACTTAAGCTGTCTTACTCAAAGAGATACCAACCACACAACACTTTGCTCTGTGACAAATTATTAAACTACAAAACATTGCAGGCAGCTTCCAGACTATACTGATTTTCAATCATCATATTTTTCCTTACTTTTTAGTACTGTCACCTCCAAAACTCTTCAAACTAACACAATGAGTGGTGGACTAGTGGTTAGAGCACAGAGCTTGGAATCCTGAGTCAGAGCTCGAGCCCCACTCCCACAGATTGCCACTCTGGGTCCCTGGGCAAAGACCCTTAACCCTAAACCACTCCCCAGGCCCAACAAAATGGCAACCTACTGCTCCCCAAGGGCATGGGTTAAATACAGAGAGTTAATTTCATTCCTCTGTGCTCTCGACAGTGTAATGACAATAAACGTTGGGAAAAAAAGAAAAAAAAAAACATACTTTATTTGGGAAACACTTCATTTGGGACCTCTAAATAACAACTGAGCAAGGTTAAGTTACATTAGCTAAGGAAATTATTGTGTAATAAGGGAGGATTTAATGCAGTTTATTCTCACTGTAATAGTGGTTAAAGAAAGATTTACATTTAGTGTCTCTTAAAAAGTTTAAATATTTAATAAAGTAATGTAGTTTTAGAGAAGTGTAGCACAAAATGTAAAGATAGAGTTATCAAATGTTTTGTTGAAATTAGTCAAAATCCGGGTCAAAAGAACCATGTTCAGAAAAACAGAGTGAAAATAACTGTGAAAGATTTGAGAAAACTGATAAAAAACTAGCAAAAAACTATTCTACAAACTTTCTAAAATATCCCAGATTTTCTACTGACCTAGAAAGCCCAGGAGTAGAAGGTGTTCAGTGCTCAGCGACATCACCAAGGTAAGGAAAGAAACCCACAATAAAGAATGAACCGTTTTTCAAAGCTTTTATGGGCTAATGCGAGACTTTCGATTAACAATATAAATCATTGTAGATGTCCTATAGAAAGTGTAAAATTAATTTTTAAAGGTCTTAGATTTAGAATCTTAAATTTCAGAGTTTCAGGACTTTAAAGATAACTGAAAAAATGGAAGAAGCTTGTTTGGTGTTTCTGTACAACTGTCTCGATTATACTAATCTGTAATAACTTAATTATCACCTTTATATCATTATCACCTTTATGTCTAATTTATTGCCTGCATCTTTTTTTTCATTTCTTTGAATGGCTGGTCCTATCACTAATTCATTACAACCTTGATCCGGCTACTGTCTAGACAGTTCAGAACAAGAAAGCGGTGTTACGTAGAAGTAATAATGGATGGAACTAGTACGTAATAATGGATGCCTCATTGCATTATTAAACTGTTGTTAAATGGGAGCCAACACTACCATGGTCGTATCATAAAATTATGAAGAAAGGAAGGATAAAACAACTCAAAATAATGAACAAGAGACTTCACTGGAGCATCCAGTAACTGCTGCTTCTGCTCTTCAAAAGTGTCTGTAAATGTCTAGTGGGACCCAAGGCACCAACAGAAAAGTCTGATTAAATGTGGCATGACAGTTCTTTAAAACCATTGGATACATATCCGATTTAGTACCCCATTCTAAAGTACCATTAGCTAGATAGATAGATCTCTATATACTGTATCTCTATATGTATTTTGCCTACATGAAGGACATTAACAATGTTGAATGACATAAAATGCTTAATTTATCTGCTCTTACTCAACTCTGTGAAATGTTGCTAAAGGAAAACCATGACTATCAAATTCTTTGCTTTACCACAATAATCGTTTGTGAGTTTGGTCAACTATTACAGTAAACAGTTACAGACAACATAACCAATACTAGCTTATTCAGGTAGCAACAAGCAAGATAGCAACTGGCAGTGTTGGCATGAATGTGTTCAATGAATGGCATTCACTGAATATGTTCAAACTTTCAGTGAACGTTGAACTGAAAAGATCAAGTATGAAGTAAGGAACATCAATGAGAGCCATGTTCACACTGAGGATAATGAGTGTTCAATTGATATAGACACATTCCATTGGATAATGCTATGTTTTATGTCCTTATTAAGGCAAACAACATGACAGACCAGCATGTCCACTGCTAGTACTTGTATGTGATTCATACTCTTCTACTGGTATTTATGATTACAGTTTTGCAGAGCACTTGGCAGATATTTATGAACAAACAAAAGAAGACTTGGGCAGAAAAAAACTCATTTTAGTGCAAACTGTGTCCACCAGCACTTAACAAACAAGTAGGTAGGTCAGCCATGTCCACTTCAAATTTAGAGCAACAAATGGTGTTAAAGCATCCAGTCTATCCTGGGAAATATCTGCTACCTTATGAGGAACATCATTTTGATATAGATTTTTTTTAGCAGAACCTGAATGTACCTATATGTTTCTGAAGTTATTTTTAATTTAGCTAAATAAAGGCTTCATTACACATACATGTGAGTGGGAGTGGTTGTGGCCCTAGTTATTGGGGCAATGCGCTTGGAATCCAGTGGATCTGAGTTCAAGTGCCACTCCCACAAAATGCCACTCTGGGTCCCTGTCCCTGCACAGACCCTTAACCCCACACTGCTCCCCGGGCGCCGCACAATGGCATCCCACTGCTCTCCAAGGGGATGGGTTAAATGCAGAGAGTGCATTTCGTTGCCCTGTACTTGTGACAGTGTAATGACAATAAAAGCTGGAAAAAGAAAAATGTAAGAAAAAAAAAAGCATACAGTATACCTGGACTGCATCAATATTTTCTATTTCTTTCTATATATCATGATCACACATTTAAAAGGTGAAATATGAGGTTCCATTGTGTACGATTGAGGATTAAGTTACCAAATAATCTTGTCCTAGTTCATTTATGGGCTTGTGAACTTAGCTACTTTGAGCTCGTTTTTTTTTATTATGAACTGGCACAACATTGGTAATTGGATTTTACTTGAGCCTTAATGCAAAAGTGAAAGCCCCAGTAAAAAAAAAAAAAATGACCAAATAAAAATCTGTTTCCAGAAACTGGTTATGAGTCCAATGAGTTTTAGACATGGGTCTGTATGATCATTAGACAGTAGTGGTGAACTCTGCGCAAACATGACTATAATAGGTAAACTATAAGAAAGTCTTTAGTTTGTAACTGGGAAATAAATTGTTTGAAATAAACATATTGTCTCTGTTAAAAAGAAGAATCTCTCAGTTTAGTTCTATCTGTTAATGGAGGTATTTCAACAAAATTCAACACAATTCTCTGAATGCATTAAAAAGCCAACAGTCTGACAAGTCCTTCTTGGCAGAGACATGTATGTAGAACTAGGATAAGAAATGAATAAAATAAAATACCACTATGCTAGGTGTTTTTGAGCTAATAAGATATGACTCATGATTTGTGCTAATTTAACATTAAGACATTTTATTAGCGAACCTTATTCCAGGAATTATACTAATTAGGCCAATGACCACTTTGGCTCCATTTTCTATGCATCCTAGCTTTTAAAAAAATAAATAAATACAAAATACCATCTCACAATGAAAATAAACAATGCCAACAGGCTTCAGTTCACTAAGAATGCAAGCTGTTACCACTTTTGTCTTAAATAAGAACCCTAGGCTGAAAATAACAGCCAAAGGTTTTTTATTTTTCTTTATCCTTTCTTTCCTTTAATATTTTTCGGTAAGATAAGAAAAACATTGTACAAGGCCAGAGAAAAACTCTGCATAATATTGCAATTACTATAATCGATGAGTCTATATAAACTGGTTTGAGCGTATTCGGACTGCTCTCCACAGAAAAAGCTCTTGCTCAAGGGTTTTTGTAACCAGTAACCCAGTATGAATATGGAAAAAAGGCAGATGGGGAATTCATTACAGTCTGAGTGACTGAAAAATTATGTATGTACATAATTTGCATTCAAATACATGAACAAAACATCCAAACAAAAAAAGAAAACCAGAATTTCCACGCTGCCATGTTACAAAGGATGCTCAGGACTTACGATAAGGTCCTTTCCAGCCGTCCTCCTGTTGAGCCGATAATTTCTCCAAGTGTACAGAATGTTTGGCCCAAAAAGTCCTAAGCATGACAAAGGTTTATAAAAACAAGACTTAGCTGCATAGTGAAGCAATAGGATGGTGACATGGTAAATCTTTTAGTAACAGCAAAGACGTTTTTCACATTTTGTGACATTTCACCAACAACCTGCTTTATGAGCTCAATGGGGCTTTATGTCATAGAACGTCACAAAGGAGCACATAATGCTGAAATGAAACAAAAATAAGATTTGTATTAACTAAAAATTATGCCTGGCATTTGCATACAGGATTCTTGTGTTTGAAACATTTTATAGATATTATTTTAATACTAGCTTTATTTAATTAATGAAAAATAATCCTCTATGTAATTCAGTCTCACTCACATTAAACAGGATACTCTGGTCTGATGAGAAGGAAACTTAAGTTCTGGGCTTAAATGTAAATAAAAAAAATTCCCTTAAATATACCATACCTGTAGCCAAACATGGTACCGGCTGTGTCATGCTGATGGGATGGTTTTAGCCATAAAAGTAAAGCTGGTTAAAGTTCAGACTTACTATCTACAGTAGTATGACTATGCTTCTACAATTAAGGTTAAAGCTGGTAAAATGACTTTTATTTTAGACTTTTAGTTTATTTATTTGAAGATTTGATTACAGTTGAAAATACAGCAGCTAAAAATACATAAGTGTTAGATTATCCAATTATTTACAACATTTTAAACTACACATTTTAATACATAAAGATGGAAATTAAATTTGATGAAAAATTAAAGATTATTTAAAGTTTAATTTGTGTGTTATAGCACACCTGTGATTGATGTTATGTGTAACCTCAATTGGCAGGGCTGACATTGTTGTAGACACAGTATTAAAGAAAATGTTGCATCTATTGACAGTATCAGCATCAGTTTAAAGTTTTTCATTATAGATTTTTACACAGGAAGCATGAAATTATTCCACAGATACTATACTGAGTGCTGTTTTGTCTTATTTTATGTCTCTTAAACAACATTTTATAAATGATTTGTTCAATGAATTGTTGATTTTTTTTTTTGTCCTAGATGTACTCTTTTCATACAAAAGTAATGCAATGGAAGATTAACTCAGGAGGGTTAAATCAAGGTTTTTGCTAGACACAGATTTGTATTTCCTGAAAAAATAATAAAAATAAAAACCTTGTATCATTAAACGTATTTCCCTCCACTTCACACAAATATACATCACAAAGATTGATCTATCACATAAAATCATAATAAAATTTCTTGACATAAAATAAGCCGAATGGGTATGAAGATGAATTCAAGCTATAATACAAAGAAAAGAGACAACTCAAAAATAGATAGATATATTTTAAAGAATGTCTACCTTTATAAAACACTTTATCATGTCTAAGAGATAAGCAGGATCAAAACATCCCATCTGTGCCCCTCGATTAATACTAGGGATTGAGGACTCAACAGTAGCTATTAACATATGTAAAATTGATGGGGACTATTAAATAGATATCAAAGCTATCACATTTCAATCTCATCTGATTGAATGGCAATTTCAAATTGAACATTAACTTTAGAGTTTAATTCACCATATATGTAGGCATGCATTAACCCAACAAGGTCAGTCCCAAAGATGTTTTAGATGGTAATTCAGCAGCCTGTCGGAATTATTGGCAAATGTTATCAAAACAGCAGAAAATGGGCCAGCTTTGTTTAGTCTATTTGGTGAGTAAGGTTTTTTTTTTTCTCTCTCTTTCTTTAATGTTTATAACCTCACCACAGATTACAGAGGAAAAACATGAGGCAACATAAAAAGCAGAATCGACTTGCTATAATCACACTCAGCACCAAGAACAGAGCGCGGATATTTGTGTTGCGTAGGCATGAGGTCTACTGTGGGAGTGAGTCCCAGCGAACTAAATATGTGTGCGGCCTCTATGAATGACCTGACATGCACAATATGCCGTAGTACACTGAATAGAAACCACAAAAACTGCTTTGAAGCAAAATTCTGAAAGTTGCTTTTACCTGAGCCAATGAGAAAATGCAGACAGACAAAATGTGGCACAACACAACAGGGGAAGCTTTCCAGGTGTCTGCGATTGTCCATGATTAGATAGGCAACATGAAAGCATGGGAGAAAATTCAATACAACCACAGTAAATGACTCACATCACAAAATTACTTGATGACTAATGAAAATGGAAATGAATAAAATACAATGAGTCATGAGATTTAAAATCTGTAAGTGTATGTACTCACCTTCTGCTCTCCAGAGGGAGTTATTTTAGGAGGACAAAATGAAAAAGGATAAATAAGTTAAAGGAAGGATAATACCACAAATAAACTTAAACATAAAATAATTCCTTAAACAATAAGATCTGTTACAATGACTTTTGTTTTTAGGTTAGTTTGGCAGACTTTACTTACATGTTTGGATATGTTACAGCTTCTAGAGTCAACATTGTACCTACAAAGACAAAGACAAATCAGTTAATTGGGGTCACTTTTATGTAAATAAAGTAATTTTTTACTCACACTTTGCTAGATTCCTTGATTTTTTTATTGGTCATGCTTTGGATTATTATTGGCAGGATAAAATAAATAGAAACATAAATAGAAACTTTTTTTGTCTGTACATTTACTTCACCAGAGCGGGGCAATTTCTAACTAGTACAGAGGGGGGGAAACTGGAGTAAAAAGTAATATTGGGGTGAAACATATAAGATAAAGTTCATGTTTGAAAATATTAACTCTTAGCTATCCAATGCTGAGTAATTGAATTACCTCTGCAAAGTGCCTTGAAATGACATGTGAATTGAATTGAAATCATAGGTGAGGGAAATAAAGTAATTCATAAAAAATTATCAAACTCCATAAAGGTAGGAGCTCACTCTGGTGTATGTCCTAATTAAGCATCATCTTGCCAGGAGCCTGATTAAATATAGATTTTAGCACTTCATTTTCTTTTCCCAGTGTCTGAACATTTTAGGCCAGATGTATTATCTGAGCCTTTTTGGCTTAGGATATCTGAAAGCAGACTACAAATAAATTCAGAAAATATAGTCAAATACACAGTAATTTTAGAGCTTGCTGTTTTCTATGAAAACACTTTGAAAGAAAAGGCTTCAACAAACATAATCTGTGCTTTCTAAAGTTATTATAGTTTGCTACGTACTGTAGCTACAGTAAAATGCAGGAAACTGGAAAAGTCCTGAAATACATTTTAGGACCAGTTTAGAATATCAAAATATTTTACTATATTAACTTCTGTTACACAGTAAAATAACCACTTAAACTTAAAATATTACCACTTAACACTTAGTTTTGTGAAGAACCATATTGCTATTTACAGTATTTTAATGCAATAGGATTCACGGGCACGAAAACTTTTGAACCAAAGCAGAGCCCAACAAGAAAAGTTTGAAAAACACTGATCTAGAGTTAAAGAAAAAAAAAAAAAAAAAAAAAAAAAAAAAAAAAAAAAAAAATTTTGTGTAACAACATTTACACAAAAGCTGAGAACAAAAATATATAACATGATTCATTTGCTTTCATTTAAAACAAATATCCCTGTTTCTACATGTTGATTATTACAGTTATAGTGAAGTTATTTATTTTTGTAATAACAGATTCTTCTTTTAACCCCTCACTGGGTTTTGACATGTTCTATCTGGTATTTGGATAATTTGTCTTTGGCTCACGGTTCTAAGGTTGAAAGGCCATCATCACCCTACACCACAAATTCTCTCTCAGATTGCTGTCTGGACCCTGGCTGGGCCTGTATTACTACTGCCAAGCAAGTTAAGTAATTTTTGACAGAAATATACTCCTACAACTGCAATCATGTTTTTTTTTATGATATAAAAAAAAAACAAAAAAACATATTGAATACTTACACGTCAAACCTTAGATTCTGTCTCTCTTCAAAGAAGAAATCCAGCACAAACTTCCTGACAAAATCTGGATTCCGGGTGTTGTCTATTACCTCTGTCCTGCCAAACTACATGAATGGAAAAGACACAAGATTATAACTATTAGCAGCTCTGATCCAATAGTTGGTATTTGATATAACATAAAGGAGCAAATGGATAAATAAAAAACAGGATAAAAAAAACAACATTTTGATTATCAAAACAATAATCTGTCTTTCAAAAATGGGCCCATGTTACAACATGCCAAGGTGTCTGCACTCGAGTCTCTGACCCCAGACAAATCAGGAGTGGCACATCGGTCTGATCATCTACCCCCCCTTGTGTGCCCAGAAAGCCCCACTTTTATCTCCCCCACTGAGCCATGCTGTCTTTCTATCAGCCTGACAATCACACCGGTAATACTCCTGTGGGTCGCTGGCCTTGCCTTCATTGGTCTGGCCCAACAGCCCCGTGTAATGAGCTATTGATTTTGGCACCGCCTCACTGCAACCTCAATACCTCGACTCATGTCTTCAGAGGCCAGTACAGATAATCCTTGCTATCAACTGTCCCCCAGCCTATCTATTACCAAACCTTAGCAGGGGAGTGCATTTTTGGGATTTCAGGGCTTTAGGGATAATGATATCACAGACAAGGTAGGTTGATCTGCACCTTATTGTTGCAGATTATGGATTTGTTCCCACTACAGACTATTATCAAGAGGTAAGTAGAACCAAATGAGAGGCCAATATTTGTTTTTATTTTTGGCTGTATACATTGGACAAATTAAGTTTTTACTTTGAAAACCAAAATATTGTACCCTATGAACAAGAAATGGCAGAGTCCAAACCACAGTTCTATGAAAAAGTGTTTGCTTGTGGTTTTAGTCAGGCTAAAAAAAGTGTCAAATCACCAACCAAATTATATAATTGGATAAAGATAACCCAAATGAATGCAAAAAGTTTTCTAATGAATCTATTCATTAAAACAAGGCATACATCCAAACCAACCTGGGCCTCTAACTACAGCTTTTTGCACCTAAACCTACAGTAATAACTAATCATGCCGATCTTGTTAAAGCAAATGAAATCAAAGATTTGCCTGAACTTCCATATCTTCAACTTCACCGCTGATTACTTTTACTCAGCTCTTCATTGCAACTATATTTTAGACTAGCCCCGTTAGTACGAGCAACTCATTTAAAAACATTTTCTTTCTTTAATTTTCTTATTAATACTTTTGCCATACTTTGCTCTTAAATATTCCTCCTATTCTAATTATTCATTTTAACTCTCTTAAAATATTCCTGTTGACGTTTAACAACAGCTACTGAAATATGCTTAATAAAGGAACTGGTCTTGCTCTGATGTATCTTAGAATATTGTTAATATTGGTTATATGTTCTTGCACCGTTTTCTAATAGAGAGCAAAATTTATGATTTCATCAAAATAATTGACACATGTGTTGCCATTCTTTGAATCCTATCCATATAACATAACCAAAACCTCTGGAAAGTTCTGGAGTACAGTTTGCGGTAATCTTAAGCCTAGCAAATCATCCAGGTCCTCAGGCAGAAATTGAATCCAGAACCATTATGCTAATAACACTGTATACTAATACTTTGCAATTGACAGGGAGGCTTTTTGTTTTAATGAAATACTGTCTTTATTCCAGATATGAGTGGCAGCATTTTCTCCTTGTAGAGCCTTTCTGCTTTATACTTTGGGGTAGTGATTTGATCTGATTTTTATAGTATTTACTGAATGTTGTTGCAACCTGGGCAAATTATATATATATAAAAAAAAAAAATGTTTACACATATTGCTGAACCCTGTTTGGGCCATTTGCTCCCACCCACTGTAGAGAGAAACATTTTTAATTAAGAGGCCCACCAAAACAATCAGCTAAATTAAACCAATCTAATATAACACACTCAAATACTTAATTAGTGCGATGGGGGGCATAGAAATTAGTTGTAATTGAACAATTAGCTTTTAATGCACTATGTTAATACATTAAAACAGCCAAAACCTGAATATTCTCCAGTTTGAATATCTAATATAAAATTAAAAAAACCCCCATGAACTTAATCTGCTATCTTGGTTTTCTGAATCAGCATTTAAGACACAACAACATGTTAGAGATGGTATTCAAGAATAAAATAATTAGCTGTAATGTGTGAGATGGCATGTGAGTTAAAGAGAGAGAAGTGCTGTAAAATATACACAGGTAAACAGCCCTTCAGGATTTCATTCCCAACCTATCGACCTTTTCCCTTCCCCTTCCATGACATTTCTTAAATGGTTATTATCAAAAGGAGCCATGAAATTTATTTTAGTTTTTTTGGATTGATTTCAATAAAAAAAAGGATGTTAAGCAATTAGTTTTAATTAAAAATAATCTACATTAGCCCAGCATTACAAGTGATTGAAGAAGCCATAATCAATAGTGCTGCTGCTGTTAACAGTTTGAATAATCTGTTAACAATTTTTGCTTTGAGTACTTTCTTTATTGCCAGAATGTGGAGTTTGCTTAATGGGTGATCTTTCACAGAAATTAAACCAAGTGAGGCTAAAACTACACCAGCTCAGGACTTCTGAATAGAGCTAATTTGTAGATTATATGCTACAAATGCTACATATGTTTTATGTTCTTTATACAGTTTGGGATTGCCATTTCAACAAATGGCATATTTTAGGGTATGTATAATGGTAAACAATTACTTTACTAAATTAGTTGACATCGATTGATAATTGAACATTTCAATAATCAAATAATCTGTCTTTATCTGATTATTTGTTTCTTCTCTAATCAATGGTTGTTGTTTGTTTAATTCTGACATTCGACATTTTAGTAATATAATTAAGGCACTTAAGATCTTGCCTTAGGTTTATTTAACATAACATAATCTCCAACTCTTAGAATCAGTCCATCCTTTTTTGCCTAAAAATTGGCAAGTAAATATTTAGAGAATGAGTGAGGGAACAAAACATTAGGAACTACTCATTAACAGAGAGAAAGCTGTAAAAATAACATAAAGCATCCACCCCAGAATAAGCACAATGTTTTCCTCAAAATAATCCCCTACAGCAAATCATTGTGTGGAGGGACACCATAATGGTCCCAAGCTGAAGTTTCATCAAGCTGCTGGCTGCAGCCACATAAAATGCCTGAAGTGTTTAAGCCCAAAGTGAAAGCAGAAACAGAGAGTGTATGGAAATCAGCTAGTAGAGAATGAATGTAGCTTGTGGTAGTCCTAATTCCTAGAAGTCCTAAAGGTTGGGAAGGAAGTTCAAAGGTTATGACTTGAAAAAAAAAACAAGTCAATTGACCTGACCCAGAGGCAAACTGTAACACAAGCAGTAAACAAGTCAGAGTGTTGCTGCAGGGATGGTGAAGAAGCAACGGTGATAAAAATCATACCATCAAAATTTTTTAGGTTTTTGTTTCAGCTACTGTATGTGCTGTTTAACTCTGGTTTTAAACTACTGTTTTGGTGCAGTGGAATGATTTTAGATTATTGTTAAAAAAAATGTTTTCGGTTTAGCTACGACATGACAAACAAAGCCAAACTGCATGGAGATTAGCCAAAAAAGATGCCATGAAATTGAAAAGTAGTTAGTTGAGAAGAGCTTGACTGATTATAGGTGTTTGCAGCTTCTATCCGACTGTAGCTGATTTTTGTTTATTTATCCTTGTTTTTTGTTTCTCAGTCTCAAAATTACAGCTTGTAACAGCAGAAGGAATATGTTATTTGAATCAAATAACTTTTTACGTGTTGGAAAATGGTAATTTTAACATCAGTAATTGTCAATTGAGATCTAACTAACTAGAGGAGACCTCAAGGAATGCACTTAATTGCCTAGTCATTAAAAACTAATAAACCAAAAACTCAAAATTCAGAAGAATATAGAGAATGATTCTGTGTCTCTTTTGCAAGAGCTTTACATCCCACAGTGAGATTTGCCTGAAGTCTTCGATGTTCTAAAACTGTTCATTTGTGGGTGCCTGAGAGGAGGATCATAGCTGGTTGCTAAGAGTAATGGAACCACTTATGATCATGAAAAAAAAATCACAAAGTGAAATGGCTGAAACAGTAAGAGAGTCAAAATAAATTCCAAACTACAAGTATTACAAAGCTGATATAAAGAAAAACAAGACATATGGGGCCCATCATTCTCATTAACATATCAATTGATAAAGTGATTCAAAACAAAAGGTTTTTGTATAGATATACCATTTTCTTCTAAAACTACATTGAGAAAAGCATGTTGACTAAGATGAAAAAAACTGGACATACTAATATAAAACATCCAAGTCCTCCTTAGCAAATCTGCTCCTGGCCATGCCCCATTTGTGATACTTTGGTTTATCTCACCAGGAAGTGTGTGACATAAGTAAATTAAATAGTGAATACACTTATGATTGTTTCTGGACACAAAAGTTTCTTTCTGTTATTACTGAACAGGAAGCGTGCCATTGTTTTAAATTACTTTAATCAGGGTTATTACTGGGAGGAGACACAGAGGGAGACCCAGGATATGCTGGAGAGACTATGTTTCTCGGCTGGCCTGGGAACACCTTGGGATTCCCCCAGAGGAGTTGGTACAAGTGACTTGGGAGACATCTGGGCCTCCCTACTGAAGCTGCTGCCCCCACAACCCAACCACGGATAAGCTTAAGAAGACGGACGGACGGATGGATGGATGGATGGACAGTTATTAGCTTGTAGTTTGTAGCACCCCCTAGTGTTCTGCCTGCTTAGCTTTTGATTTATCAAAAAAGAAAGGGGTTTAACATGAAGCTTAAAGGGCAAGGACATATAAAATGTATTGTATGTTTTGTTAATGTAGTAATTAAAATATAATTTGGATATTCAAGACAAAATTATAAGAGAAAGATGTATTTTTGAATTATGAACCATTACGAAACTTTTTACAAAGAAGAACAAAACGTTTTACAACTATAAACACAATGTTTAAGGTTCCTTATGTCAGGAATCCAGTTTGTGTGGTCTGTTTTTGTGTTTCTTTTTCTACACAACCAGGTGGTGCCCCATCCTCGTTGGGCCCCCCTGCACACCTGCGGCTCGTTGGATCATTATCTGGAGGAGTATTTAAGCAGTGGACTGTCACTACCTCGACGGGTACTCTACCCAAGCTGAGTTTAGCTGAGAATAACTGAGTCTTTGTTTCACTGAGCCTAACCTTGTTTTTTGTCTTCGCCTTTTCGGCAGGAAGTCATCATGGATTAACCTCCACAAGTTCCGTTCAAGTCCTCCTGGATTTCCAAGTAGCAGTCCTCTCTCATACTCCTCTGGGTCCAAAGAAAGTCTACCTGTCCGCTCTCCAACAAGTCCCCTCTTCACTAGATCAACCCATACTGACTGGATTTGAAGCGAGAGAAGAACCCCACCAAACATGAGTCCCTCACTAGCATAATGCTAATGGCATCCAAGATTTCCACGGTACCTGAACCCACCTCTGTGAACTTCCCTCCTCCCTTCCAGTTCCGGTTCACCAGCCCTCTGAGTACCAGATCCAACCCCTCAACCCTTACCGCAATAAACCTGTTAAACCTTTGCCTTGCTCTCTGAGTGGTTCTCTGCATTTTGGGTCAGAACCTTAAATAATGACACACGTCTTCAAACTTGGAAACAAACTCTAGAGGATTGTTTTTTTCTGTTGTTTTTTTTTTACTTTTTTGGAACAGTGTGACATTAAGTATACATATGTGGACATAAAAGGAAAAAACTAAAGTTTAAAACAGAAGATGTCCTTCCAAAACTTTTACAAAAAAGTTATAGGTTCCACCTATAACCTTTGTCTCCACAACCTTGGACCTCGAATCTTACGGGAATTGCAAGATTATCTGCTCCGGTGTCACTCTGTGTACAGCAGGTGACAAGTTGTTTACTTGACTAATTGCGGCACAGTTTTTATCGTGTCTCTGATTAGGACCTTCCTAGAGGTGTGAGGTAACTTAAAGGAGAAGATCAGCAGTTAATGATCTCCCTCTTTAATGATGCAAACCTGAGGTCTGTTCTGTCTAAATTCTAAAAACTCTTGCACTTCCTGACAAGAGAAAAGAAAACGTTTGTATACTGTAACATTTCACATGCATACAAAACCAATCCTGTCCCACATTTGTCCCTGTCTCTTTAATATAAATCACTACACTGCAGACATAGACTACCTGTAAAGACAGTGAGTACAGTATGCAAACTAAGAAAGCCCTACAAGACTGATGTTTGTATTTCTGCAAGAGAATGAGCTCTTATTTATACTTTTTTGAGACTCCTCCATTGATACTGTGGTTGAAACTAAAACAAATAAATATTTCCCAAATAGAATCTATGGTTCGACAGTAGGGTGAAGATCCTACTTCACACAGGACTCTGCAATCAAATCGCACAATCTGCAGAAGTAGAGAGCAGCACAAAGAGAATTAGGGAATGGCATCAGGTAATCTAAGCACAAGGACAAGCAGGGTATAGAAGAACAATGTAGCAACTAGGACCCCTGGTGCATGTGGTAGGGGTTAAAGGCTCTCTACAACAACAGCAAAAAAGTTACACTCGTTACTGATGTAAGCTTACCAGACATGTAGAACCTATTATTTTCCCATTTCAATCACCAAAACATGAATACCATTACCCAACCTGCACTTCCAGAGAAGAATGACTCAGTGCAACTGAACCAATATCGTCTTTGAACCATCTTTACAGAATCATTCCAGGTGGTGTTACCAGGAAGATAAGTAAGGCATGCACAGACCAGTTGGAAGAGGTGTTCACCACTATTTTTAACCTCTCACTGTTGGGATCTGTTGTTTAAACCTACCTTAAGACTTCTACAAATGTTGCAGTATAAATAGTGCACTGCCTTACAGGCTATGCCCTGAGAGACTTGTCTTGTTTCAGATAAAGACAGGTATCATTGCCAATATTATCAAATACTAGTTTGCATATTATGTAAAGGAATTTTTACCAGATGATCCAGTCATTATACCCTCATTTCAATCATTTGGACCTGAAAAAAACACATATGAAAGAAGCTGCTTGATGATTTTAGTTCAAATTTCAATACGTGTATCCCCTAATCTGGATAAAAAAACTGTACAATCTGGCCGTATGCCGTTCAGGTAGACCTTGGACTTCCCTAGAAATAGGATGAGAGGACTCACATTTGCCCTTTTATTAAAGATTGCCACTCCACAGGGGCCTCAGTCCCCTGTATCCATGACTGCTACTCCACCCACCCCACCCACATCATGGTAAAATGTCCAGGTGACATTCTATAATATAACTGATTTCAGATAATAATAGGACGACATGCAGGGAAAAGGCTGAGCAGCTGATAGAATGGTGTAAACAGAGACACAAAAACTTGGTACTGAACAGATAAAAACTGAGGACTGAACCTAATATTGGACTTCAGAACATCAAAGCACACCTAGAACTCTACCGTCTAAGGAGGAGGTAGAGAGAGTAAAGACCTTTAAATTCAGTGGTGTCAAGATTTTAAAATGATCTTACCTGGACAGCTAACATCTCTCATCAGGTAAGAAAGGCTCAACAAGACTTTAATTTCTCAGAGAGCTTAAGCTGTTGCTGACTAACTTTTATTGAGTGGCCATAGAAAGCTTCTTACCATTTTGTGAATGTATAATGGTGTAGTTCTCCAACTGCAGTAAGAAGAATTTTAAGGTTTAAAACTACTGGTGAAGGTAGCAGAATTGGCCATTGGGCTACATTACCATCCTAATAAATATCTCCACAAGCTGACTTGTATTACAAAGAGACCCCACCATGGACACCATCTGTGATACAGGTCAATTTGAACAAGGGTTGACAGATTAACATTTAACTGCTAAACTCTATTTTGTTGAAACTGAGCTGAGACATAAACATGTGAAGCATCAACAGATAGTGTAGAAAACACAAAGACATAAACCAACCAGATATGAACCTCAATCAAAATCAGTTCCTGGCTACAAACAACTACAAGACAAAATAACATTTATTAAACAGACTGCAAAAATTTTTCTTTAGTGTTGGCAGTAGTTTATATGGTTTAATTTGATCAAATGGTTCTGTTACGCATTCCTTAAAACTTGATCTTAACTTACTAGGAGGGGTTAGGTAAATTTCCTTCTTGTTTATGCTGATGAAGATTCTCAGTCATCCAGGTCATAGTAATTCCGTAAAAGTTCAAAAAATATCCACTGGACTTGGTTTCCAAGATTTGAAGCTTTGTCTATATAAGACTCAAACTCACTGCGGATCCAGACATTTGAATTGAGAAAGCTTCCTGGAGAGGTGGCGAAACGTCTTCAAATCTTGGAAACCAAGTCCAGTGGATATTTTTTGAACTTTTACGGAATTTCCTTCTGGTTAAATTTAGAAAGCTTTCAGTTGAAAGGGTTTTCTCTGAAATTCGTTTTTAATAATCCACCTATTTTACATTATTTCACACATACAAAGTGAAAGTAGATAATGATGTTAGGTTTCTTAACTTACCTCTCTCCATTCTTTGGTTCCCACACCCTGCACATATAACACGACCACTAGAGGAGAAAGAAAAAGAAGAGTGATCTGAAAACAGGGATTACAATTAATACTTTTCATCTTTAGCAGAAACCCAGTGGGTTTAAGCATGATGGTATGAGCAGAACCTGGCAGATATCACATTACTTGCTTTCAGTTCCAATTTCACTGCATTCGAATGTGCTGAAGGTGAGTAAACAATTCTTTATTAAAGGCCAATCCAGCAGCCTTTAAGGGAATTTGTTTCCTTTTCTTATTCCAAAGACAAGCAGCAAATATGAGAATATAAATTATTAAACTTCTGGTTTACTTATGTATCTAGTAAACCCTCAGAATAATGCAAATATAAACTCTTCATGACATTTAAATTATATGCTGTTTGCTGATAGTATGTATGTGACTCAAAAAAAAAGCGAGTACCATTTAGACAAAACTAAACATGATCAGTAAGTAAGCTAAATACAATAAAAGAGAAAGTTTTATCTGGTTGATTTTTTATTCCGGTTTTGTTTTAAATAACAATGGTGCTTCCCAAAATCTTTATTTCAGTGAGTTGAGGTGAGTAGTTGGGTTTTTTTTTGCATATGAAAATAAATAAATAAATGGAATAATTCTGCTTATTGTTATTTTCCCTATTTGTTTTCAGCTTCTGGTACCTAAGGTGCTGTTAATCACATCACTGACTTGCATCCACTATTAGGATTCACACTGCTACAGTGGTCATTCTGTCCCTCAAGTGTGCAACGTTTATCTGATCTCATGCAATAGAGGAACCTCTGGATTTTGACTGTCAGATACAGCTAAAGAAACCATTGCTGTATTCATTGGGCCACTGCTTGTGGTAGAGGGAGTATGAAGACATGGGGTGCTAACATGGGTTGAAAGACATGGCTTCTCATCACGGTCATTGAAAAATCTGCACCTTTAGAAAAAAATTCCACCAAAATGTCCCCACCCCTCCACAAAATAGGGTTTATCGGAAGCTACCGACAGAATTTGCCAGCGGAGCCCATGGATTGATCTCTCTTCACTCGTGAGCTCCACCATATTGAACAGTTGTAAGATCATCTCTGGTGATCTGTTCCAGAAGACCTGATTGGTGTGACTGGCTTCCAACACTGGTTGAAAATGGGATGCCACCTTCCCACAGTGTAAGAACAAGCTGGTAACTACAATGAGAAGTTGTAGTGAAGCTGTTTTGAAGCCCTTGTTTGGTGAATAATGTCTTAAATTGTCATTGTCAGTGTCACGGATCAAAACTAGCCTAACACTTCCATATCAGTGCATCTGATGTGTTTTGACAAAGCCCATCACTCTGACATAATATCCTCAAGTATTGGTACATTTAAAACAACCAAAATAACCCTTTTTAACTTCTCCCATATTGTCCCTTCAGCACTTTGAATGGTTCTAATCCACGGACCACTGAATCACTGCCTGCCTTCCTGTGCTGGTTCTCATCCCATGAACCTGCCAAGCTGAGACTGTCTCCACCACTAACCATAATAGGGCAGAAAATCTTATAGCTCCTTAAGTTATCCGAAAAGTTTAAAATTTCTCAATTATTACCTCTGCTATATAGACTTACTCTGAGTTTCCTGAGTTGCTGAGGCGGACATCGACGATACAGCTGCCCACAACTAAAACCAGACTAAAATCAAGCCGTTCCCCTCCCATTAGACATCAATAAGTTAAGAAAATCTATATTTTTTAATGGATAGCTTTCCAGAGTGAGTAGAATTAGTGGCTAAATGCTGATTTGTGTATTAAAAAGGAGTTCCTGAACTATTTTTGCTGAGGTTTAGGAAAAAACATTCCAAATGTGTTTTTGTTGTTCAAGCTGTTGGTCCCATCTTCATAATGTTGTGTTTTTGCCATCATTGTTTTACCCTTGCGTGTTCTTCCAATCCGACTTCACTTGTTATACACGCTCTCACTCAAATGCGCCTGTTTGTCTGCCATCTAATGGAAGAAAGCTGGGTTTATGGACCCACAGTGCAACTTGTTTTCATAAACATTTCAGTGCTGTCACATCAACTGCATTGTGTTTATTGGTAGCTGTGGCTTAAGTAAAACCTGACTGAGTTGAACGTTACCAAAGACTACTTTTACACATCTGTTTGTTAGAGACCATCTATATTGCTAAACTGATGGACATTCCTTCAGTGCATCACAACAGCCGATTACTATTATTTGATGTTGACTGATTATTTCATGTATTCTGTCTTTATTCCAGTAGCTTGTAGTGTTTGCATAGTTTATCCAAAATAATATTACTGTGACAGAGATAATTAGGTTTAATAAAAGCATCCTATTTTGTTTTTTGATTCTGGTTGTCTCAGAAGAGACCAGCTGCATACGACTTTTTAATCTCCATGTCACATTGACTGTGTAGAGAGGCTCTAACTTGGGGTGGCCAGATCTGCACAGAATATTTTTACTGCTGTCTCCATTAAAAATCAATGGTTAGTGGCAGGGATTTTTTTTTTCAGATGTTTCAAGTATTGATTATGGATAAAAGGGGGGATCCCACTCTAGATTACTGATGTCTCATCACATATCTTCTGGTGATGTTTAAAACCTTCCTCTCAGTATTTTGAAAGAGCCCTCCATGAATTACCCCTGAGTACGTTTTTTTGTTCCCAAGTGAAAAAAAAACAACAAATCTTTGTACCTTTGTCCCCAGTAGAAATTAATTTGAAATCTAAAAATATTTGAGCCATGCAGACTGAAGATTTCTGACCGTCTCAAAAACATCAGTTCGTAATCTCCTGCTGACCCCTGGAAACATTAAATCAGAAGTCCTCTATCCTCCATCTATTTGGGTTGAGGCCAGGAATTAAGCCTAGGTTGTTCAGACACTTCTGTCATCACTGCTCCCAGAAAAATCAATCGAGGACACCCTGCCAACAACGCCAAATTGACGTGTGAAAAAAGTATTCAACTGCACTCCAGTAAAATAAAAAGAGATCGATGGATTTACTCAGTCAGCACTTAATTTACTTTGCTAAGTAAATTGAGAACAAAACATCCACAATCTCACGGAAATTTGATGATCTGCCCTGTTCTGCTCTAGACAGAGTTTGTCTCCCTTTGAAATGACGTGAAGGTTGTGTCAGAGTCAAAACATAATACAGACACTTTGGTTAAACTAACAAATGTTAAGAAAGAATCTGACTTGTTATGGGAATAATATGCAAACACTCCAAACAGACTGAGTAAAAACATTTCAGTTGATAAATAGCATAACTCAATATATGAAATAAAAAACAATCAATCACATATATACAAATTGAAATAGTTTCCCCCTTTTGACTTGGACAGGTCATAAAAAAAAAATAAAAAAATCACTGCCGCATTAAATAAAGCAAAGCCCCACTTACAGTATGCAGCATCTCAAACCAGAACCAATAGAGAATGTTCATATGCCTATGCTAAAAAAGTAATGAGGTCTACGTTTCTCTAAATGAAAGAAAAAACACAGCAATAAACACTGTGGGACAGTTTCTATGCTGACTGAGGCAGTAAGATGTGAATCTCAGTGAGAGATCTGGGAATTTTATCAAAGTTTTTCTTCCTTTTTTTCCATAAAGAGGTGCCCCTCATTGTTTTGTTGTTTTTTGCTACGCTCAAAGGGGATATATAATTTTTTTCTCCTCCTGAAGGTATTTTCTTTTGTCGAGGAGATTGATGTGGTTTCTGTCCCTCGTTGTTTTTGCGAGGCTCAAAGAGGATCACTTTCCTTTTTCTGTCCTGCTGAACTCTTATCATGGGTAAAATATTCTTTTTAATGTTACATTAATTGTTTTTGCATGAGTCTGTTATGCTTGCTATATACGCGATGTGCAACTCCAAAAAAAGGCTCTTTCCCCATACGATTAACAGATTTTATTTTATATTTTCTCCCAAACCAGGTGTGTTTTACTGTGTAACCGCGTCTCTCTTGCTTTCAGACACATGAAATTGCAGTTGAATTGCTGCGTAGTCAGACTTAAATACACCTGGGAGCTATTTCAGTCTGATCTACGCAACCCCATCGCATAAAGACGTGTCCGGTGTGATCATCCCCACTGACCTTCAGTGAGAGTTAAACAGTGCAATACAATTTTCTGTCAAATCAGACAAACAATCAGATTCAGTGTGTTCTGGCTTAATACAGTAGTGACTGTTTGTAACAGCTGAGTGTACTTTGAGTTAACAACTTAAATAGACATAGATTTTTTTTCCCTTGTGGCTAATGATTAATAACTCAGCATAATTTATAAACAAAGTTATTGATATATACTTATGTTGAAGACAACTTGGAATTTACCAGCCAGTCCAAAACTTGCAGTCACAAAGGTAAGCCACGAATAACACCTGGTAATTGAGCAGCTTGTCAGTTATAATCATTTACTTTAAAATCATTGTTTTACCCATAATTTGAATTATATATTAAGTAACTATAGAATCCAGTTCAAGTTATTAATATACAGTTAATCTGCTAGTAAAATTGCACAACACCCAGTTTGACGCCATAGAGGTCAATAGTAGAATCCGCTGTTCGACATGGTAGGAGAGGTTTTCAACAAAATAATTTTAAGGATCTACTTATGTGCAGTAGTCAAGTTGTAAAAAAATAAAATAAAATAAGAGGGATGGTGAATTTTTGTTTTTTTTGGAAGCATACATAGCCTAATGAATATAGTCTATTAACCTAAAGCGATATGCATGGTATTGTTGTTAAATATCAGGTACGCCAGTCATTGACCTTGACCAAGGCACCTTTCAGTAGAACTGCAGTCAGTCCCCGGACTAGCATTTCTATCACTGCCCCTACATAGTTAGGGACAAATGCAGAGGACACATTTCCCACTGGGGACAGCTTCATAGTTATGGTAGGTCACTTCCTTGATTTTACTTTGGAAAATCTTTTGGCAATTAATCCATTAAAATTTCGAACAAAACCTCACAAAACATTGCAAATGAATATCTGAATCCTTTAAAGTCAAGTATTTTTTTTATTCAAATTCAATCAATT